TCTAATGGATTGATACACAGGTTTTGACATGCTGTTTGAGCACGGAGCTGCCTATAATTGGTCACGTCATTGTGCATTAAACTAACGATATATAGAGGAGCTGCCCCGGGATGAGTGTCTTTAGCAAATCTGTCAGGAATCACACCAAAACACCGCTGACAGCTCTGAGGCACGAGCCGTTTGCAACAGGGAGCCATGAAACGCACTATTCCCCAGCGACAGTCAGTACATTAGCGCGGACCACCTGAAACGGCGCTCCTTCGCTTCCCCCTCCATCTGTTTGCAGCCTGTACGTACGTTTTCTCTCCATCTGCACGCTATATTTAGATGACATTTTCCTATACGCACCGAGAGGCCTCCCAACCTCCGTAATGAACCGGAGATGCGCGGCTCCTCCCATTTATGTAAACAGGGATCAGAGGTCGGCACCGAGGCTCGCTCCACGCCACATGACTCCATCGCTGTCAGAGATCATCACGTCATTTCTGCTGCAGAAGATGAGACAATGGACACGGTGTCTTTAGTCACAATCTTGGGTCAAATTAAAGTTCTGTCGTGATCAAGGACCAATGAAAATGACAGTTTTGAGGAGAGATTGAGTGAAAAACTAGACTGAAAACTCACCTTTTAGTACGAGTTGCTCAGGTTGTCTTGGTGTTTTTATTGTAGTTTTCATGTTTTCTGTATATATGTATGTGTAACTGTTTCTTCTGTTTTGTTGACTTTTATGTGAAGCACTTTGGTCAGCTGATGTTGTTTTAAATGTGCTATAGAAATAAACTTGAACTGAACATTTAAAAGGGCCCATATTACACAGTTTTATGATCTATGTTCTAATGTTTTCTCATCAAAAACAGACCTGGAGTTGTGTTTTGTTTCATTCACACATGTTTAACACACAAATTATGCATATTTAAGGTGAGTTCTGCTTTCAAACTGAAAACACTCTGTTCCACCTTGTGACGTCACGTGGTGATACAGGAAGTGCTCCCCTGTGTTTTTAAACTCCAAACACCTTCACACTAAAATAATTTGGATCATTTCAGTCCTGGAATTTCTAATCTTTACAAAACTAAAAGTAAAAGGTAGCTACTAATTTGAAAACTACCTCTTCATGACATCACAAAGTGGAAAAGAGCCTTTTGAGCTTTGGAGATGTAAACAGACTAATGATAAAGAATTACTCAAACATGTCTGAATGAAACAAAACACAACTCCTGGTTTGTTTTTGATCAGTCTAACACAGACATGTCAAACTCAGGTCCGGGGGCCAAATTTGGTCCGCGATATAATTATATTTGGCCCACAAGATCATTTAAGATAAGATTATGGATTCGGTGTTTAAGCAAAACTATTATTAAACATTTATTTTAATAAGACAATGTTTAACATTACATATCTCGAAAGAAGTGAAAACATGCAGATGGTGTTGAGATTTTTCAACATTTAGTTTGACCCACAACTTTCATTTTAGCCTCTGTGCATTTGAGTTAACATGTCTTAAAGTTCACAAGATTCAACTTTGTGTACTACAGAACCTGTAAAATGATAAACTAATGTTCTGTGTGTGTGTTTTAAAGTCCTAAAACCCAAACTCTTGCATGGCTTCATGTGATTTCTCTTTATTATTTGGGACCTGATGAGCGCAAAACCAAAGAATTGTATTTTATATGTCCACATGCTTTATGACATTAATTTTATGTTTTAATCATTTTGATAGAACACGATAAAATCACAATTGAATAATGAGTTGCAAAAACCGTTTATGAAGTGTCTGAACAACCCAAAATATGTTGGACACATATTAGGGATGTAACGATATCCAAATGTCACAGTATGATATTTTGAAGAGGTGTATATAATTTTTCTGCTTTTAAAATACCTTGATAAGATTTTGGTCTTATTATTTCCAGCGTAATCCAAATAATTAAAGTAAAAAACATATTTCTTCATGTTGTCTGCAGTGAAATCAATCATGGAATATGTCGTTTCTGATGTTTACAAGCTGTTGCTACTATAAAACCATGAATTAAAGCAAAGGAACTTAAAATTCAATATATTGTGACAGCCCACGATATTATTGTGAGACTTTTGAAGATATCACGATATTTCATTTACTGTTACATATCTTATCGCTAGAATCTGTGGTAGATATTTTTTGAAGTTTTGTTCTGTGTTAACTTTATGGTTTCTACTTAACAATTACATCTACTGCCCGTGTCAAACCAGAAAGTAAAATTACGCCTATAAACGTCACCAACATTAACTTAAAAAATGCAATGCAGTATTTTTGGGAATCTTTAAATATAATTATGTGACTACTGTCTTAATTAGAAATGAGTAGTCGAACACATCAAATGCATTTTAACAAAAACAAGAATCATTTCCTTTCATTTATTGCAGCAGAATCCCCACTTCAGCTTCTCTCAAACACCTGAATCAGTTTCAGCAGAAGCACGGGCCCAAAGACAGGAGCGATATACATCAATATTCTCTAACGACGTCTACCACTATTTTGGCAGCCATTTTGTTTTCCTAAATACATAGTCTCTGAGGCCCGCTGCCTGTCTGTCCGTGCTGTCAGGAGCTGTGCCGTGATTGGTCTGATGGGTTTGATGCTCATCACTCTGTCAGCCCCGACTCGCCTTTCATTAGTCTGCGCCCCTCTATCCGCCACACTCACACAAATCACGCTGACATCCAAACTCCTCAGATCCACACAGCAATTTAACTGATATTCATTAGAGGGATGACAAGAGCTGATGGGAGATCTGTGCGCGCCGTGGAGGAGAGAGGGACTCTTCCCCGGCCGTGTCCGCCTGCCTCACCCTCTTCACTACTGACTTTGTTTTAGGAGCAGTGAGGCGCAGCAGCGTGTGGAACTGAACAGGCCTGAGAGACGCTGGAGACAAAGAACAATAGGAGACATACATCTAATCTGCACTTTATAGCAGGGAGAAATATGATTCTGAGGACTTGTGTTTTTCATGCTTCATAATTGGCTGCAGCAGATCGTAAGCTTGTCCTCTGCGCTCCTAAAACAGCCACTATAAAGCTCATCCAAGCAGAAGTCCAATCATTTAGCCCTCTCCCTCCAGCCCCTCATTAACCCCAAAAGTGTCAACTATCTCATTAACGCCCCCAGCCATCTTCACCCTGAGTCCATCACGGCGCCCATAGCGTTCATCAACACATACAGTAGAGCTCTGAAGGATGGTCACGTGTGCGGCAGGTTTAAATGGGCCGAGGGAGCTCAGAAAGCTCAGCAGAGATTCAATAAGGCAGCAAAGCCTTTTTCATTTGCATTATCAATGGCTACCGGTCTGAAACCCATCTTTCAATTATCATCTATTGTTAAGGGCTTTATTCTGCTTGTCAGATGTGAGTCATCACTGGGCTCTCCCACAACGTTAGGCCAATGTATCCTAAACGTCGGTGGGCCGCGAGCAGTCTGAGGCGGTAATGAGTTTGTGTGAGAAGACGGGGTCAGGACACAGTGTGTGTGTGTTAATTAATCTGTTCCCGGGTGGGAGGAACTGAAGCGAGATGATGAGATTTAAGAGAGTAAATGGGTGTGCTGCACTCGAGCTGTCCTCTGTTGAGTGAGTGAGCATGGGTTAGAGGCTGGCCAAATGGCCGTCACCATAGCAACCAGATAACTTCCCCTGGCCCAAGTCACTCAGTCAGTCAGTCATGACAAGCAAAGCCTGGGAACATCAAACAGAAAGAACACGGTGTCCTAAGGCAGCCTTAAAGAGTAATAAGTTAAAGTGCAGAATATTTGAGGAGCGCCTGTGTGTCTGTGCACACACAGTTTCATAATGTTCACTGCAAACCATAAAAAAACTTTCTCATTACATGGCAGCGAGCCTGAATTGTGACTACTCTGATAGCATCAACACCTGCCAGTAATATTGTTAGATCCAAAAGTCTGCTTTGAGGGAATAGCACCTGTCGGTGCATTCTGCACCACTGTCAGCTCGTCTCTGTGCACATATATAGGATCCCCTTTATTTTTTCCAAGGGACACTCTCAGAGTCCAGGTGTGTGCCAGATCTGCTGCCTGTGCCCAGGGCTCCTGATGGCATCCAAGCCCCCGTGGTAATCAGCCCACTCAGCCTGCTGTTGCCGCCCGCCTGCCCACCCCCCCTCCTCCTCCAGTGGCTCGTTTCAGAAACATCTGGTGGTTTACATGCAGCACACACCACCTGCCAGACGCCTCGCAGGCAGTGGCACGGCTCACACCTCTCGAGTCCTCTCCCCAACGACACAGGCAGAACACTCTCCCCCTTCAACGACACACAGGCAGAACACTCTCCCCCTTCAACGACACACAGGCAGAACACTCTCCCCCTTCAACGACACACAGGCAGAACACTCTCCCCCTTCAACGACACACAGGCAGAACACTCTCCCCTTCAACGACACACAGGCAGAACACTCTCCCCCTTCAACGACACACAGGCAGAACACTCTCCCCTTCAACGACACACAGGCAGAACACTCTCCCCTTCAACGACACACAGGCAGAACATACAGACTAATATTGGGAGTGGAAAAAAGTGAATGGAAAAAGACATGGACGACACAGGCAGAACACACTCTCCTCAAAAAAACACAGGCAGAATGTTCAGACTAATACTGGGAGTGGAAAGAAGTGAATGGAAAATTACATGGAGTGTCTATTAGTGTTTAAGTATAACAAGAGGAGTCGACGTGGTGGACAAAGAGGTTTGTTGTCCAGGGCCCCAGGATCTTAGGGGCCCAGAACTGGAACCTCTGCCTATTAATTAATATTAAAGGGGGGCCCAATATTTTGTCAACGTTCTGCAGATAACATAAGATAACTGTTCTTTCTGCTCCTTTTAATTCCTTCTTATTCATTTCTTGTATGTAAACACACGGTTTATGTCTTTTTTATATTTTATGAAGGAAAAAAATGTTACTCCTAACACTTTTCTTTGACACTTGTATTAAAAATAATGAAACCAACAAAAATCTTTTATGCAGCAGTTAATTCAATTTAATCATAGAAGCACAAGGCATTAACATATTTGTATTTTTTTTTGTTTTTTATCAAATAACATTTATAAAACTATTGTGCAAAACAATGTCCTTTGTCATCTTCTTGAAAGGCTCTGCACCAGTGGATAGTCATCCTTTTAAATTAGGAAATATAACAAGTAAAATATGCATAATTTAAACATTAAGTTGTAAGCTTATACACTATATATGTACATTTTTACATAAACCTGGATTCGGAGCACCCCTTACTCAGTGATAAAGAACAAGGCAGCTTTTACAATCAGCAGAACCAAAAGATCGAGAAACTATAAAAACAGGCAAAAGAGTTTTGTTTGGCAAACACTTTTCGAGGAGCTCTCCCAGGTGTTTGGCTATTTTGGGGCAGTTGAAAAGGATCTGAAATTTCGACTAGACAAGACTGTACAAATGCAATTGAGAACATGCAGTCTACCAGCAAATCTGAGTCACAAAAATACAAAATAAATTAAGTTAAAATACTTCAAGTTATTATCTGGCCTTCTTAATAAGAGATTCACTGGATTCAGCCTAAGATAGTTATAGTGAGGGAACAACAAAGCTGACACCAAGCTGGATATCTCTCACCTACAAGATATATTTGACAGTGACATAGTTTTTTTTGAAATACATGGAATTGAGAAATGCGAACAGGCTTGACACATGTAAACACATTGTGCTGACGTTCGAACAGCAGTTTGTGGCATCTTTGTGCATTATCACACTGTATGTATAACCCTATAGACAATCTAAAGAGCCTTAGTATTTTCTCTTTCTGCGGTACATTAGTGTTTGTCGAGCTCGCACACATATAGCAGATGGTCCTCCGGAGACTTCCCATGGCTCTTGCTGAGGTGAAGCTTGATGGCGTGCTTAGTGGCAAATTTACGGACGCAGAGTTGGCAGCGGTACACAGCCCCGTTGCTACTGCAGTCATCGAAAGACTGCGCTGAAAGGAAGGACTCCACGGGCACCAGTTTGTCAGTTAGAGCGTGAGAGTCCCTTACAGGCTGTTTCGGGGAAAGTTTGGCCAAGTCCCTGATTTTGAACCCCAAGTGAGCTTCCAGGTGGCACACATATGCCGCCGGGGTTCGGATTTGGGAAGCGCAGTCGCTACAGAAGAATATGGGTTGACCGGAATCCAGGTTTTTGAGGAATTTGGTCCGTCCAGTCCGTCTAAGTTGGTATTTAACGTTGGCCAGCCAGTGACTTATAGTGGTCATTGAGAGACCGGTGAAGCGAGACACGTGCATTCTTTCTTGCGGGCTTAAGTCGTTGATTATGTACTTTCCTTCAGAAGTTTGCCGGAGACTTGAAGCGAACTGGGCTTGCAGGAGGAGCAAGTGCTGCGGGTTCCAGTTGGAGTGACGGCCTTTGCGTTTGTGGCCGTGGAGAGAGGCGTCGTCGTCGTCAGGGGTGGTTCCGACCAGCTCGACTTTTTCAGGTATTCTCAGACGGGAGGGCGGTTTTGAGACGTGGTTCGACTGCGTGAGATTTCTGAGCATGTCCGAGATATCCGACAGAGCGTTTTCGTGCAGGGGGCTGCTGGAAGTGTACGGGGACACGACGGTGAGCTTGGCCGGGGTGACGAGGGAAGCCGGCGAGATGGAGGAAGCGGTTGAGGACGGGGTGGAAGGGGCGGGGCACGCGGAGCTGCTCCTGTCGCTCTTTCCTTTAGTTAGGTCCATCGGTTGGTCGTCGCAGGGCAGACAGATGCTATTGTCTGCTATGCTTTCGTGTTTTTTGGTGTGGGAAGGGGGCGTGGCGACTGCGGCTTTCTCGGCCATGCTCTGGCTGAGTCTCGAGAGGAGACTCAGGGGATCTTGGTTTGGCAATGAGGGCTTGGCTGCTTTCCCTAAATGAATGTTCATGACGGACTGAAGAGCACTTAAAGGGTTGACGAAAGGCTGTTCTGGAGGAGCGTGGCCGGTGATAATTGCTGTGCTGCTTTTGAGAGTAGAAATCAGTGGGGATTTAACCTCTGCCTCCCTCTTGGGCTCTGTTACTGGGGATGCACGGTCGCTATGGCTTCCCTTGTCACTATTGGCTGGAGTGACCGCCCTCCACTCCCCCGGAGACTCCCCACCTTTGTGTGAATCTCCGGTTTCACTACTACAGGGAGAGTGATTGTTTTCCAGCTTAGGTGACAACTGCTTCACTCTCTGCTCTACCTTGGCCACTTTCTCAGACACTTTTTTCACCAGGTCCTCCATTGCTTGGAAGTTGTTATTGGAGAAGGGAGAGGACTGTGTAAGAGGAGGAGAAATAAGAGGCTGGTTCTTGGCAATAGAGGGGACTGTGCTACCTCCATTGAACAAAAACTTAATTGGGGAGTTCTTATCCAGGCTACTATGCTGGAGTTTAAGGGCACTGGGGAATTGGTAGGCTGCATGAATACTCGGATAGCCTCCCCAGCTTGGATTTCCACTCTGGGCTTTGTTGATAGCTGAGGTAACAGTGTTTTCTAATGATTTAAGAATGTCAACGCCTCCTTTCGGGCTCTCCTTTAAGTCTTCTTCTGTGAGATAGCTGTATTTTGAAATGTCATATTTCTCCTCTTTCTCCACAGCCTCCTCCTTTCCAGCCAAGACTGAAACAAACTTTTCTTTTGTGTCATTTTCTGGTTTAGTGCATTCCTCTTCCACCTCCTCTTTCTTTACTTCTAAGAGAGGAGGAGACGTAGCAGGGGGAGTCTGGAGGGGCGTGGGGGAGAAAGTGGTCGGGGCAAGAGGGACAGATTGTACCCTATGTTCAGTGGGACTTGTGACCCTTGCAGGATTAGGGGAGGTGGCTTCCGGGAGTGTTTTAACTTTCTTTCCAACCGAGCTAGTCACCCTTAGGAAATGTCCCGTCACCATCATGTGACTTCTCAGTTCTTGTAGTGTGTTATGGGAACTTCCACACTCCATGCACTTCAGGATTTGTAATTTGTTAGATTCAAACTGCCAAGCGGTTACTAGAAGGCGGATTTTTATGAGAAGATTCGCTCTGCTCTGTTTTAGGTTTAGGGGTTTCTTCTTTTGTTCGAGAAGAAGACAGATCCAAACCAACAAGCCCCCTTTTCTTATTCGATATGATTTTGGCTGCCACAGGGGCCATGGGCTCCTTTAAGGGCACTTTCTGGTAGTGTTTGGTCTTTATCATGTGGACACTCAGATCTTGGAGAGATTCAAATGAGTGGCCGCAGTACATACACTTCAGGACTTTCTCTGCGTCTTCCTTTCCCTTCCATCTCCAGCAGAGAGCGTTTACGCGGCTTGGACCAGCGCTTGGACCCTGGGCCTGCTCTGTCCTGGTTATCATCTCTGTAATGGCCTGTCTCATTCATGTGCACTGTCAGTTCCACTAGAGTGTCATAAGCAGCACTGCAGCCCTTACAGCGGAATTTACTGGCCCCTGTAAACAAGGACCCAAACAGCTTTGGGTTCTGCCTGTGAAGCTGAACTGTACTGAACAGACTGGGCTCTGCCTGAGCGCTGTGGCGACTTTGGGAAGGCTGTTGCTGCAGAGTTTTTGCCACAGCGGACTGGTGCCAGTCATAACTACTGCTGCTGCTACTACTGCTGCTAGTGCTGTTGCTGCGTGTGGGCTTTTCAGAGGGAGCGGGGGCTGGCTGTGTCGGGGACTGTGTGGAATTCAAGTTCAGAGGCGACCAGAAGGAGGTGCTGAGAAAGCTGGAGTAGATGGCTTTCATCTGTTCCAGAGTGTCCATGCCTATGGGGGGAGTCTTAGCGCCTCCATTCAAAGGGGCTGTGACCAGCTCAGGTTTTCTGGGGGGACTCTCGAAGTCTGAGAGGCGATCACTCGTCTCACTCACATGTGATTCACTGTCCATGTCCTGTCCACAGATCTCTGTCCCTCCTGCAGATTCACGCTCACATGCCTGGTCTTTGGCTGGGCCTTCACTCTGTTCTTCAAACTCCTCTTTTGTGGAAAGCTCCTCCTGAGGAGCCGGGGACTGGACCTCAGCACGAGCCTCCTCTGTGTCCACGCTCTGCTCCATCACATCCTCAGGAGAATAGGCTGTAACATAAAGACAAAGGGACAAAAGAAAGAGATGAGTTAAATTGCAGGGAGTAAACACGCTATGTTAGAATAACTGCAGAAAAAGTTTTCCTGCTATGTGTGCCCGAGGACTCCCAGGGATAAATGAGCCATCTGTGTGGGAGCCTTTAAAGCTGAGCTGAGAAATTACAGTCATCCCATTTCACCTCATCAACCGTTGAGGTGTTATTTTCCTCTAGGCGAGCCTGTATTTATATACTACCCCAGCCACACGGAACTTATGCCTCCCTTCTTTTCACTCCTTCTATCGGAGGAAAACAAAAAAGAAATATCTTGGCAAAAACATAATGCACCATTTTATTTATCTCAGGGCGCAACAGCTTGAAATGAAAACTAAATCTGAAATTAATGAAGCCCAATCTCACTGTGGCATTCTCCTCTGGGGTAATAAATGAGTTGGATCAACCTCCATCTGTCAGTTAATATGTCTGACGCCTCTTCATCTGCCTCTCCTCTGATTACACACACATACACACAATCAGGAGAGACTCAGAAAGAGACGTCACATTCTGATGATGAGATCTTGACATGGTGGATTGATATCCAACAGTGTTAAGTGGGTTCATTAGTGTTTTAATATGTTGAGCTTAGCCATTACTGAAGAGTCTGAAAAGTATTTAAAAAAGTGATCAATGCGTTTGACTACAACAGAGAAGCATATGTCAGCCTTGGAGTCGTGAGTTCGACCTCTGAGAACTTGCAGGATGTCTCTCCACTCGCCACACCTCATTGATCAAGTCTACAGGCCAAAAGAAAGAACGATTTGAAACTCAACAGACTCATGCACGGTGAAGTTTGACATTTGAGTGTGGTTAGAGTGTGATGCATAAGCAGCCTGTCACACTGTTATAAGACAGATGAAGATGATACATACGTTTGTGAATGACATGGGCATGTGAGAATTCTTCCCAATACTGTTTATGTTACCGCACCCTCCAACTCACCCAACACTCATGCTCTGGTCGGTCTCTTTTACTTCCTGTCCATCTTACTCACAAACCCACTCAACTTAAGGATAAACAAATGATGTCCACATTCAGTGGAAACATTGGGCAAACACAGTGCTCTCAGAACACTCTCTGCGCTCCAAACTCTGAGTTTCACTTCTGTTTAGGGAGGGCCACACACCCGAAATCCTTCATTCCCCAAACTGCCCCATGCACATGCGTCCAGTCTAAACAAAAATGTCATAGCTGAAATAACTCTCATTTCCAGTGCTAACAGCCAATCTGTAGGCAGCCATGCGGCTGGCGCTGCTGTGATTTGGGCCCCAGGGGCAGAGTCAGCAGCAGCCCAGTGAGAGGCCAGCCTAATGGAGACCTGGCAGGTGCGCCCCACTCTCCATCCTCCCGGAGATTTGGTTTGTCACTGGATATCCATTACCTGCCATTCTCCGCTGATAGGCCTCGACAGGCCTGATCAAAAGATGTCGTCGGGGCCCAGTCCGCTTGGCAGTTAGTGGCATGTCGTTTGTAAAAAGGGCCAAGCAGGGTGTAAATAAAATGACATGATCACTTCCCTGGCCCCTCATGTTCTGGACACAATTATGATAATGTGAGCTGGAGGAGCGGGAGGGGTCTGCAGGAGGAGGAAAGGCGAGGAGGTAAATCTCTCACGCTCGGGCAAACACGCCACACAGAAATGTGCGCTGTAGCTGCAGCCCTGCTCCCCTTCAGATCTGTGCTGTTCTCTGGTGGAGGGTTTTTGTGTCAGATTCTCACTGGAAAGAGAAAATGCAGCCAGGATGAGGTGCCTAATGCGTTTGTGTCCTGAGTAGCTGGTCACAGATGTCAGCTCGCATCAGGCTGCAGCCACATCGCTTGACCAACTTGTCAGGTCACCTTTCGCGTTTTCATCCCAAAAATATTCGACACATATCTCCACATTGTCTGCCGCTTTCATCAAAAATTGCCATCCCCAATTTCACATCATGTTAGCAGATTCATGGCCCTGTCTCTGTGCGCAGTCATAAATGTTTTACAATTCATATGAATAAACTGGCTGCCCTATGGGTTTTTCTCCATTTGTCACCGAGAAAGGTCCGAACGCGCCTGCTATAAAAACCTAGCGAGTCTTGGTGGGCTCCCAGGCAATTTAAAATGCAAAACAAAAACCATTATGTCTGAGCACTATCTGTTAATTTAATCCCCAATGACTGATAATCCATCACACAGGGCGACAACCACATCCAATTATTCTCCCTGGCTTGACTGACAACAGAGGTGATTTATCAACCTAATAAAAGGTGATGGCAGCAAAGAGGCTCACTTAGAATCAAAAAGATGGCGATTATGAATACAACAATACTCTTGAACGCAGTCTTAACTAATATCTCAGCATATGGTGCAGGGCCAATGTATGAGTTCTCCTAGTGAGAGTGTTCTCGTGATGATGAAGTGAGCGGATGCCATGTGGAGACGAGACAAGAATCATTAGCTCCCATGAAGGATTCTTTTGTGCACTTTTACCCAATCCCCACCATAGACACAGCGCGTAGTAACAGAAGCATGATAAAAAACTGCAATATTAATCTGAAAATACTTTATGTCACTTACCCCTGTCATGATAATTACTATATATCGAGTCTGGAATATGAAAGTTGGAACGTTATTTTGAAGAAGTCAGTATTTTTTGTGCGTACATTTCCTTTGCACTACAGATTTGTTTGTTATTTTTTGTCTTTATGATAAGATTTAGGGTCGTAACGATACCCAAACCTCTTTTTTTCACGATATGCATCTCACGGTACGGTATTTATTTCGATATTTTTAAGACTTGATGAAACTTAATCCAAAAAACTAAGCTTTAAAAGTGCTCAGAACTGTTATTTCTTCATGTCGTCTGCACTGAAATGGAGCAAAGGATCATGGTCTATGTAGTTCTCTAATTAATAGTTATTTAATTTAATCAAAGAGACTTGTAATTCGATATATTGATAGTCCACGATATTATTTGGCGATACGGTATCATGATATTTTGGTTATTGTTACATCCCTAATGAGATTTGAAGCATAGAAGGTTGAATTAATGACAATATAGACACAAACTAAGCATTTAAGTGACTTTTTCTGCTAAATTTATTATGTTTTCAGCAATATCATAATTTATATTTGTGGTTTAACTCTGTTTTTGTGTCAGTGGCATAAATTAGTTTCAGTTTTATCATTTATCGTCTATATTTACTTCAGCTATCGTGACCAGGCAGGCAAAAATACAGAAACATAATCCCAGTAATCCCCATTTTTTCTTATACAGTGTCATTAAAAGATAAAAAAAAAAGATATATTGGTGTAAATATAAATGATAATATTGAAACTCATTTATGCCACTGAAACAAAAAACTCAAGTGCAGATTGAAACCACAAAAACTATTCTAAATCTACAATATTGTTAAAAAAAACATGAGCTGCAGCAAATAAACAGTAGAATGAAACACTTCAGTATTTAGTTTCCGTCTGTAATGAGTCATAAAAGTTATTCATTTAACCTTTTACAGCTTAAATCTTATCATATAACCAAAAAATAACCAAAGATTTCCCAGCAGTGCAAAGAAAATGTACAGACGATAAATATTGACACCCAAAAAATATAATTCCAGTTTTCATATACTGAAAGATAAGTCGACATGGTTATTATCGTGACAGGCTTTTGAAATAAACTGCCAAATGAACTGCAAAATTAGCCTCAGGAGTTTCTTACTCACACATTTTTTTACGGCTCAAAACAATGTCTCCACTACTGCAACAAAAATGTACACACATATACAGAGAGCACAAAAATATACCGTTCCAGTTTTCATATATTGAACCATAAGGCAATATCGTAATTATCATGACAGGCCTTGAAATAAATTGTAAAATGAAGTTAAAAATTTGCCTTAAATGCTACTTACTCAACACTTTACAGCTCAAAATCTTATTGTATCTTTAAAAAATCACTAATATCACTACTGCACAAACTATACTAAAATATAATGTTCCAGCTTTTATTTATTCAAGTCGATGTAGGATTTACCTTAAAGTGCCTAAAACAGATTAAACTACTCATTAGGGATGTAAAAATAACTGAAATATCGTGATTTTGTATCGTCAAAAGTCTCACAATAATATAAAATTTTACATTCCTTTGCTTAAATTCATGGTTTTACAGTAGCCACGTCTTATAAACATATGGAACTACATATCCCATGATTCATTTCACCGCAGACAACATGAAGATAGATGTTTTTTACTTGAATTCTTGGGATTATGACGGAAATAATTCACACCAAAATCTTGTCAAGGTATTTTAAAAGCATCTACAATTATATCAGCCTCTCCAAAATATCGCAATAAATATCGTACCGTGAGATGCATATCGTGATAATATCGTACCGTGAGATTTGGATTTCGTTACTTCCCTGCTACTCATTTTACTAAAGCACAATTGGCGTCATTATATTTAAGATTTTTGCAAACACACTCACACTCGTTTTCACAATTTGGACAATTTTTAGGTTTAAAATTTTACTTTTTGGTTAAAAATCGTGACGTCACACAAGGGAATTCATAAATGTTATCTCGAAAAACTCGTCTAATGTACACAGAAATGATTATCTGATGAATACAAATGTAAGAAAACACCTTTATTTTGGTGAAGTATCAATATAATTTTTATTCTTTTTCGGACACAAGTGAAATCTGTGTGATTTATTTATTATTATAGGAAAGAAATATTTACTTTTTGTATGATCTATGTATTTATGTTTTTAATAAACATTCATTCATTCAACATATTTATCAAAATTTCGCTTCAGATCGCTTCGTGATTTGGGTAAAAGTCAAATTTATTTTTACAATACTTATAATCCCAACAAATTACGTCAAAATGAGAAAATCTTAAAAATCCGTCATAAAGCTGCACTGCGTAACATTTCTAGTGGAAGGTTCGCCGTCTGATTGTCTCCATGGAGATGTTAT